CTTGAAACTTGGCGTCAGCTGGCATTACACGGTAAGCGGGTGCTGGACGCGGCTTCCACACTGCTGTGTGTTGTTGCCACGCTTTTTTCACAACCACCGGGTTGCTTGTTATTTGGTCTCACCACCCACGAGAATCTAGACTTAGCCTCTTCTCTGCTTCCTCTCCTGTAGAGATGCTGGCTTGTGATGCTTTTGCGAAGCGCCCGCGGGACGGGGACCTTGAAAAGGATACGCGCCTCGGAGGCCATCGCGATGTTTTGGGTGATTTCTCGTTCGTCAGATTCAGATTNCTGCACCCCGCGTAGTTTACCTTTCACACTAGTGCGAATCAGATTCAGATTCTGCGCGCGGTCGTAGTACACCGGGGGGTTGTGCATTCACGCGCAATCGGTAGACTCCCACAACAAAAACATCATGCCTACCTCGGAGGATTCCGAAATCGACCTCTCCACCCTCAGCAAAGAAGAGCTGCAACAAGAAGTTCAACGAAGGGTGGACGCCCAACTTGCGAAGGAGAGAGCAGAAATCGCCCCACTGCCAGCAGAACAGCAGTCACCTACCACCGGCGAGCAGTCGCTACGTCCCACACCAGCCGACATACCGCCCACCGGTAACCAGCCTCCACCCTCCAGCCCGTGATCCCAATCCTTCAACAATCCCACCAACGTCGCCAACATCGTGGCGCAAGCGGTCAAGGCGATAGCCGAGGACATGTCTGGACATCAGGGCTTTGCCCACACAGACACGTTTGGTGTCAACCCCGGCTCTGAGATAGACCCTTGGCTTGGAAGTGTGAAGAAAGAGCAGNCAACAATCCCACCAACGTCGCCAACATCGTGGCGCAAGCGGTCAAGGCGACAGCCGAGGCCATGTCTGGACATCAGGGCTTTGCCCACACAGGCACGTTTCGTGTCAACCCCGGCTCTGACATAGACCCTTGGCTTGGAAGTGTGAAGAAAGAGCAGGATTTGTATATTATGTTTGATGTTTTTCGCAGTAAGATGGTGTCGTATTTTCAGGAAGAGGGTGTATATGATGTATTAGGGATCACTGATGTCAAGGTTGGCAAGAGGGGTGTGTATCTAGCAGAGTTAAGGGGCATCTTCGGGACTGATGTGGTGGACAAGTCGTTGAAGTTGTGGAATATTATCATCAGCAAGATTCTATACCCTCCGATCCAGAACTTGATCATGGCATGTGAGAGTCCCCAGCAGGGGTGGAAGATCGTCACGAATTTCTACCAAGAGAAGAAGGAGTCTGAGAAGACTAGGCTTGAGCAAGAGTGGTTGGCGTTAGAAATGCGTGAGTCGGAGAACCCACAGGATTACATAGCAAGGTCGGAAGCTCTTCGATTACGTCTTGCCTCAGTAGGAACTATCAAAGACACAACACATGCTTACAAGGACGTTGTGCGCGGCCTTCCCCCATCGTATGCCGTGCAACAAGGAATATTGCTAGAAAGCGATGTCGTGACTTTGGATGCCCTTGAGGCGGTGGTGAGGGACGCCCACATGGAGATGGAGCGCGAGAGGAGCAAGGAGCAGAGGCGCGAGGCGGAGCTCGCCCTCGTCGCGTCCGGTGCGAGCCGGAGCGGCGGGGGCAATGGGGGGGCATCCGGGGGACAAGGAGTAGTCGACGGTCAAGACCGTGAAATCCGTGATGGCGAGAGAAACCGTGACGTGCTTGTCGAAGATCCCANGAGGCGAGAGGCGGAGCTCGCCCTCGTCGCGTCCGGTGCGAGCCGGAGCGGCGGGGGCAATGGGGGGGCATCCGGGGGACAAGGAGTAGTCGACGGTCAAGACCGTGAAATCCGTGATGGCGAGAGAAACCGTGACGTGTTCGTCGAAGATCCCACCGGTTTTTGCCGCTACCACCAGTCCGAACTACACACGAACGGGCAATGCCGTTACCAGCAGCATCTGCGGCGGACGCGCACGAGAGCAGCCGCCGAGGATCGCCACGCGGGTGGCGGCGGAGGCCGTGGCGGCGACTGGAGCCAGCGAGGAGGAAGACCGCCGTCGGGAGCCGGCCGGGGTGGCAGGCGTTGGGTGAGAGTTGAAGGGCAGCAGCACCACACCGGTCATGGTGGCGGTGGCTGGAGCCAAGCCTCACCCCCCCCGCGACCTCTTCGTGGACGTGGACCTGGTGGTCGNCCCCCCCCGCGACCTCTTCGTGGACGTGGACCTGGTGGTCGTCTGGGGCGGCACCCGGGGGGTCGAGGACCCTCGGGACGCCACGGCAGCGATGGTCGTGCCGAGAGAGAGCGGGCAGGTAGAGGCCCGAGGCACACGCGCTGATGGTCCAACTTCCCCTTTCCCAGCCTTTCCCCAACGGGGGCTCCGTGGAATCATTATTGTCTGTTTTGCGTGTACCGCCCGCTGGCTCTGCTAGCATTGTACCTCCGA